CAGGTTGATAAAAGCCCCGTCCTGCACGTAGGAGATGCGGTTGTTCCCCAGGTGCAAGAGATCCAAGGAAGAAAAATTCCAGAAATCGGAGCGGTAGATTTTCTGGATCAAATTCCCGCTCAGGTACAGCTTCTTGGCGTTCAAGGGCCTGGGCAGGAGCTCGGAGATGTTGTGAAACCCTCGCTCCTTGCAGTTGACCGTCAGGCCCAGGTCGTTGATGTGCAAACTGCAAGAGCACCCGGTGGGGCAGATGATGGGGATGGGGGGCCGGGTCTGGTAGGCAGCCACAGGCGGCTGGTTCGGCTCCAAGCCCCGGGGTGTCGGGGGAGGCCGGGGCGCCCTGGGCTGCTTGGTGGGCTTGGGCTGCTTGTTGGATGCTTTGTACTCAACAGAGGAAGCGGTGAAATGGAAGGAGGACAGCATGGAAGAAGGCTTCGTAGGCCACGCGTTCTCTTTGCTGGACGACAGCTGAGGGATGCCCAGGCTGGCTTCCACCTCGGAGTCGGACAGCATGGGGCAGAGCTTACTTCGTTTGATTTCCCGCAGGTCCTTCCCGTGGAAGTGGAAGGGCGTCTCGCAGGTGATGTCCCCCACCAGGGCGGTGTAGGGGATGCGCTCCAGCCAGCTCTTCAGCTGCACGATCTCACACGTGCAGTTCCATGGGTTCTCCTCCAGCTGGATCTCCATCAGGCTCCGGCCAATGTGGTCCAACATCCCACGGTACGAAAGGACTTTTAGCCGGTTCCCGCGCAAGTCCAAGTGGGTTAAGGACACGGACTTAAATAAGTTGGTGGGAAGCATGGGGATAAGATTGTCATTTAGGATAAGGACCCTCAATTTACTTAGGTTTCGAAACGCCCCGCTTTCAATCCGTTTAATGACATTGTAATCTGCCTGCAGATATTCCAGACTTTCCAAACCCAGGAAAGTGTCGTTTCGGAAAATGTCCAATTTGTTCTCGTGCAAATACAACCTCTTCAAGACTCGGAGCCCGTTAAAAGCCCCCGTCTGAATGTCCTGCAGTGCATTGTTCCCAAGGTTAATAGACACAGCGTTGTTCAAGTGAAGAAAACTGTTGGTGTACAATTTCCTCATGGAATTCCTCTGCAGATAAAGTTTAAAAGGTCTCGACCATGACTCTGTTATCTGACTAATATTTATAAATCCCTTGTTGTCGCAATGTATATGGAAAAGGCTCTCCTTCACTTCACAGTAACATGGATCAAAGCAGGGCTCATCGAGTTCCTCCGAGTCCTCTATCAAGGGGATTGGTGTAGTCCATGCTAGAGCAATTGTGCTTAGAAGAATTATCCACAACATCCTTCCTTTATGAAGCGTCTCTGCCGTGGAAGGTTTCATCATTTGTTGATGTTTACAAAGCTGCAACGGGAAGAAAAACGCAGATTTCAGTATTTCTGCCCTGCCCCGCTCCTTTTGCTGAGCCCCTACCTGCTAGACTTGTGTTAGGCTCCTGGAAAGTTCAGCAGTTGTTGGGCAGACGTTCACAACCAACTCTAGGGGTGTCGAGTGGGCGAGCCTTGCCCTGATTTATACTTAAGAGATGTTAGAAGGTTTAATCACGCGATACCAGCCTCCCTTATCATTCCCCCCCCCAACTTTGGTAAATGCCACCTATAAAGAGGACAGCACATGCAGACCACACGGCAACACGAGCACAGGGGGCTGAACGTGTTGCGTCCTCACATGTTTCCCACCGTAGGATCGGAGTTTAGAACTAACGCGGATTTCGTACTCGTTTGCAATTTTAGCTTCGTAGCCATTGCCGCCCGCATCGACTACCGGGGGGGAAATACCAGCGGGCAGATTTCTCCGGCGTCGCACTACATCTTTCATACATGCAAACTCCCAAAGTTATCGAATCTCCATCCTTGAATCTCTCTCCCTCCCAGCACGATAGATTTCCCTGAGTGAGTTCAAAGGAATGTGCAAGGTTTGCCGGCGTCCCTGGCGAAACGGTTCCCTTCAGAAATCCCCACAGTATCTTTAGAACAGCAAATGTGTAACGACCCCGATTTAAAAAGGAAAAAGCCTCCCCTTTCAAGTGCGCTGATGAATTAACACAACTGGTATATTATCAAAATAATACATACCACATATTAGTCATTTTAGCTGATTAAAGCATTTAGAGATGATTAATCTTTCTAAAGCACATGCCCATGCGATCAGCAGATCTAAAGGGAAGTGACAGCTGAAGAGGGACCTAGGACTGAAAAGCTCAGCCTGCCTTGGATTAGGGTATTCTGTGCCCCCAGGACCAAGCAGGAGACCCAGTTAAAAAGCTGGAAGTGGGAAAAAAAAAAAAATACCTTGACACTTACCGGCCGGCAAATTATCTATCCTACTATATACGTTCCCGAATGAAGACACCGTTCTTCTCCAATGAGATGAAAATAAGACTGTACTAATGAGATGCAGCTCCTTCAACATATGGTTTCACCCTTCCTTTCACCAGATATTTTAAATGTAGGGGCACAGAGAAATGCTAAGGATGGTAATAATAACGGCGGTGATGCAGCCTTCCTTGAATCACTGAGATGCCCATTAGAATTATTCGGAGCGATCGTCGCTTTTAGTCTTAATCTTTCAACAGAAAAGGTCCTTTCTGCCTTCCTCGTGTAAGAACTAGAAAAATTTGCCCCCCATCCACAAACTTAAGAGCAGAAAGATGCATTAAGGGGAGAGAAATGCCAGAGGAACAGAAATCCTTAGGATCAACTTGCAAATGAAACCCTCCCCTGTGGGAAAGAGGAGATGGTTGAAAGCATGAAAAGAGAAATACCCTCTGCAATTAAAACCAGCATCTAATTGGGAAGAAGGGAGAGAAATGAGAGCTATATTGCAGTATCAGTCTCTCTGTATCCTTTGCAAAATATTAGCCACTTAAGTTCTTTCTCTTCTGCAAGGGCTGTAATAAAAAAATAACAATAAAAAAATAAATAAATATGATTATTATGTCTTCTTTTTGGAAGAGGGGGGTGTCTTTGACCCTAGGCGGTAACAAAAGGATCCAGAAAGGTTGTACTTACCGGTTTGCAGGAGAGATTTTAGCACATCGTTACAAAAAAAAAGAAAAAAGAGGGGAAGGGGGGAAAAAAGCTCGAGTTTCAAGATTGCTGGTTTCTCTGTCTCTCCCTCTCCGTGTCTCTCTCTCT